CGCACTCACTCACTCACTCACTGAAACTGACAGTGTTTTTGTCTTGTGCACTGCAGACCCTGTGTGTTACCTCCTTCAAGGTATGCTGGAAGATGGTAGGATACTGTCCCAGATCCACTTCCAATCAGATACCCAGACAAATGTAATGTTTTACTGATACAGTGTCGAGGTTTTACAAATAGTACTTGGATACCCACGGCTTGGAAACCCATTTGGCCCTGTCTCCCTCCATCTTACCCATTTACCAGGTAATGGGATTGTGCAGATTCCACGAATTGTTCCCCCTCATAATACAAGGGCCTCTGCCTTCACCAACTGATACATCCCACCTCAACTTCCAGGCACAGCAGTCCAAGTTACCTCCCTTAGCTACCAGGATCTGCAGGTTGCTGTTTTTAAGACTCAGACTTCAAGACGGTTCATTCATGTCTCTATATCCCAGTTTAATAGATCAGTTCACATTGTCTTGTCCAGATTAGATATTTTGGTTTTAGGCCATCTTCATTTAGCTGAAAATGGGGGTCCATAATTGTATCTCAATTGTACAGATCTGTTCTCATGATATCAGTCAGTTGGTGCCAACTTGATTATTTACAGACTGTCATCATATGCCTGGAATAATGCAGCATCCAGTATTAAACAATAAACACAGTTGGAAATAAGTTTCCCTTGTGCCCTGATAGTTTCAACCAACCCATACGATTTTATTGTATTCGTTACGAAAAAATAATGATAGCTGTGAAAATATACGAATTTTGTAAAAAAAATACATTAAATTAAATTATAAAATGGCATTCATTAAATTTCAACCACTTTTTATTCAGTATCAAGCTATATGTGGCTACTTACTTCTGATTTAGGTGAGGACAATGTTAGTAACAAGTTCTTAGGATATCTATATATTTTTTATATTAAATATAAAATCCTTTGGAAAAGTTAATGCTAAGTTTGGCCAAGAAATACTAATTTGTGCATCAGTTTTTTGTCCAAAATGCTAACTTGGCTAAATTAGGGTTGACATCTCTGCATACCTCAAGTTCGGACCCTACCTTGTCTGCACCAAGACAGCCCAGCCAGCTTTATCTACTAATTAGCGTCCATTCCCCCTTGCTATCTCCACATAACGAGGGATGTTCCTGAAAAGTCTATCTTGATATTTGGTATCTGTGATGCCATGATCGTGGGATTGTTAACCTTGGAATGTTTGGCAAAGAAAAGATTATCCACGTCATCAAGATCAAGCTGTACCTCGTATAGCATTTTAGGCCACCTGTCAGGTATTCATAAGTTGTCCAGCATGTACTATGTGAAGGAATCACAATATGGCAGAAGTATCAGTTGTTTAAATCTGCACTACCACCACTACTGCCATTTGGATGTACCCTCTACATGGTCTCTTGTTGATGGGGCGGTGGAGTAGCCTAGTGGTTAAAGCGTTCGCTCGTCACACCGAAGACCCGGGTTCTATTTCCCACATGTGTACAATGTGTGAAGCCCATTTCTGGTGTCCCCCGCCATGAATTTGCTGGAATATTCCTAAAAGCGGAGTAAAACTAAACTCACTCACTCACTCACTCACTTATGTTGATCCCCAATGTCTCTACAGCCTGATAGCAGTTCCTGGTGTGACACTGTATCAAGTCGACCGCCTCCATAGTGTAGTGGTTAGAGCGTCCACCCGGAGGAGAGCGGAAGGTCGCGGGATCGATCCCTGACCGCGTCGTAACAAAGGCGGTTAAAATATGGTACTTGTTGGTCCCTGCCTGACGCTCCGCATTAATGGGTACAACAAGGACTGGTCGGCTCGGAGTCAGTATAATGTGTTTGAGTGGGGTATTCATGCTTCACTGCGGCATGGGTTCTCAGTGGGCTAGCACTATAAAACCAGCTTCAGTCTTGGCTAGTACAAGCAGCCGCACATACACATACACACGCATGCACGTCGTCATATGAGCGAAATATTCTCAAGCACGACGTAAAACCCAATTTCAACTCACCTCACCTCACCTCACCTCACCTCACCTCACCTCACCTCACCTTTGTAATGGAGGCCATTCAGTGTGTCATACTTCCCATATGCACACACACACGTCACTACAAAAGTGCAGTAATCTTGAATATGACGTTAAGCCCTACATTTCTGTGTAGAACATGAAACAGGGTTCTGATAATCACTCAAGACTGTCATTATACCGCCGACATATGGCTCATGCAGCAGACATCTGACCAGAATTAGGAGTTACACAATGAGGGGGGCTCAATCTAGGGGGAGTACTGTAAGTCGGTATATGTAGTTGTCTGGAACACAGGCGGCAGCTTTGGATTAGCCACAAAACCTGCTCATCCCTCACTGTGACTGTTGACCCAGGTTGAAATATGCCTGTATTAGACCGAAGAATTCCCCACCTGTGAATATCACTCTCTTCCTCCCTTAATGACGCTCTAACTATGTCTCTTTGATGTGCCCACAACTCGGACAGACTCAGCAGCTATTGCTGGCTTGACTGATAGCTGCTGATGATGGTCAGTGATAAGGGAAATGGTACCTTTTAATCTCCCAACCTGGGAATTATTGCTTTGGTATTGTTACGCAGTTTGCAGACGCCATGGCTAATGGCCGACAGATCTGAGGGAAGTCGCATGCTTGAGATTGTGGTAATGTGATGTTTGATGATGGGTTCTCAGAGCTTTCTGAAGTCATTCGCTGTACTTCAGGTACTATGGTAGCATGATGCTGGATATTGGAAAATATTTTGAATTAATCTGAAGTAATTTCAAATATCGGTAACTTTAATTGTAGTTATGTTTTGAGCATGATGAAAAGGTTTGAACATCCCGAGAAGAAGATGCATCGTGGCAATGGTGCTGAACCAAATGCCAGGTGTCAGTGGTGGCCTGTCTTAGTAGGTGTCCAATAGTCCCTGATATCACAGACCTGTCTTAGTAGGTGTACAATAGTCCCTGATATCACAGACCTGTCTTAGTAGGTGTCCAATAGTCCCTGATAAATAGCTGACCTGTCTTAGAAGGTGTCCAGTTGTACCGGATGTCGCTGACCTGTCTTAGTAGGTGTGCAATAGTACCCGATGTCTTAGTAGGTGTGCAATAGTACCCGATATCGTTGACCTGTTATAGTAGGTGTGCAATGGTACCAGATATCGTTGACCTGTCTTAGTAGGTGTGCAATAGTACCAGATATCGCTGACCTGTCTTAGTAGGTGTGCAATAGTACCAGATATCGCTGACCTGTCTTAGTAGGTGTGCAATAGTACCAGATATCGCTGACCTGTCTTAGTAGGTGTGCAATAGTACCAGATATTGCAGACCTGTCTTATAAGGTGTCCAGTAGTCCCAGATATCACAGACCTGTTTTGAATGGTCTCAAGATCATCAGCTTGAGCTACACTGTGTTCATGTCAGTGTTGCTGGTGGCCTCGTGTCGGTGAGTGAAGGGATGAATGTGGAGCTTCTCATCCACCATTGTCAGTCAGGGTAATTGCAGCAGTCCTGTCTGCTGTTCCTACCTCTGGGAGACTGACAAGGCCAGCTGACTCCAGCCATCTCCCTGGTAGCACCGGCTGCTGGGTACAGCGCCTGCTGTACCATTATACCTACAAATCATAAATCAGGAATGGTGAGACTGGAATGAACTTCCTGTGAGTTTGGGAAGGTCCTGGAAGTCATAGTGTGTTGCGCATAACCCTTGATGACAAATGTGCCTGTAGGTAGCCAAACTAGGGGATGGTAAAATTGTCTGGAACACTCTTTGATGATCCAGATTCTGGTTTTGCTGATTGTATTGCAGATGGAACATCAATTGTACTTACTCAGTATTTCATGACAGCACATAGAAATCCTGCTTCAACAGTAAACTGTCAAGTGTCAAGCCTACGTCTGTCCAAGGTGACTGGCTAAGCAGCACCAGTGGATATTAACTTATTTGGACAGTGATACATATGTAACTCAGGGCTGGATTTAAGAGGTGTTAACCCACTTGCACCAGGTGCAACCTAAAATACAAAACGAAGTTGCACCAGTCAAATTCCAGTTCCACTGTTTCTATTGCAATATATAATGACAGCAATATGCTATTGAATTATTTAGATGTTTTTTTCAGAAGTTTACCCAATCGAAAATTGACTTGCACCTAGTGCAAGTGAGACTCATAAATTGGTTGCACTTTGTAATATTGGGTTGCACCAATGCAAGTAACAGGCACTAAATCGAGCCCTGTAACTGTACTAGTAACACACGTTTACAACGGTCAGTGTCTCTTGCAGTTGTCTTTCCTTCTCCCCTTTCATCTCCCTCAGTGGCCTTGCACCCATTCTAGGAGTCTACCTCTCTTCCATTGGTGAGTCTACTATCTCCCCCAAGAGACCCACTCTTACCCATCTCATCCCTCACTACCCTCCTCCACTGCTTCCATGAGCCAGGTTCATCATCTGCCTGCCTTCAGATCTGACAGATAAGACAGTTTGGTAAAAGCTCTGTCAGCACCAATGTTTTAAGGCTGATAGATTTGACCATGCTGTCTTTTATACAAATGAATTACTGGATATTTTTCTTGTCACGAGTCCATATTGGAGTAATGCTAGTAGCTGAGTAATTGCATTTCTAGTCTGTACATTAATAGGACCACTTGAATTAAGCGTTGCTCCAAATCCACGTTGCAATTTTCAATGTCCCCACTTTTGATCATTTGGACTTGCTCTCTTACACTCACTCACTCACTCACTCACTCACTCACTCACTCACTCACTCACTCACTCACTCACTCACTCAGGTGAAATAAGAACTCTTCAGCAGCCATGGTAGTTACCTGTGTCAGCTTGATGAATTGGATAGCAATGTTCTCACGGCTGCAGTGATCAACTTCACAGTACACCTGTCAGTTCAAATAAAGCTCAATGTTCTCACGGCTGCAGTGATCAACTTCACAGTACACCTGTCAGTTCAAATAAAGCTCCTTCAACGTTCCGATACGTGTACTTTCGTGCACGTTCTCTCACCTCAAAACTACCCCAACATACAGATACTCGACTTAACCAATGAAACATGACCCAAGTCAGGAGACTGTTGAGGATCAATCTTTGATTCATCTGAAACATTATAATTCCTTGTTAGAAGATCTTTTACATAAGTCCACACTTAACATTTAGAAGTGGAATCTGAAAAATTATTTAAACCCAGTTAACATGAAATTTGAAATTTGAAACGACTGGCTTCAGCTTCCCCAAGCCAACATGTGTACCGATCATGATCATCAGCACAGGAGACAAGCTTTGTTGGCGTGACATCTTGTGTACTTTGTCATCTTTCCTGTAACCCACACAGTCCTATTGAACAACACTGAATACAAACACAACTCATTCACAGCCACGTCTGTCCCGACATGACCCGCGAAGCTACTGCTCCAACAACTAATCTTCAATATGTGATGGCTGACAGTCTGAAGAAAGTCTTCTTTGTCAACAGGGAAATTCTTAATCTTTGTTTTATCATGCATAGTTTGTGGAAATCTGATACAAAATTGTCAAGATCCTATTAAAATACCAGACTCGCCCCAGCTCTGTCCTCCTGATGCCTAATCCATCGAAGCAGAGCACCCTCGGCAATTACTGTCCTCATTGTGGTAGATAATACTGGTCCAGTGTCTGGATCTAAGGCATTATGAAGATGCTGAAAATGTTTTATCCTTGTGCTATGATGCAAAGTTTCATCTTGAGGGTATTCAAAGCAAATTGAAGCATTTTCACTGGCCTGCCATTGTAGAGGGGGCTGTGATTCTGTATTGGGTGTATGGAGACCACACAGAGCTTTAATATCACCTTCGACCACGTAGCCCATCAGGTGGGATATACGATGTATATACCATACTGCTTTGTTTGACCAGGCTGTGTGTGAAACAGTTTCAGCATCTTTGACCAGCACCTGGGAAGACTAATGAAAGACAAGCTAGAGGTTAAGGCAATGCAACTTATATTCCACACCCAAAAGTCAACATGTGCAAGGTTACTGCGTCGTCCTGCCTGATGCTTTCACTCCAGCTTTGATACCGACATGAAATGTCACCCTTGATTCATATTTTTCAAGGGGATAATTACACCCCTGTAAAACTGCTGTGTCGCACAGCAGAGGCCCAAAACAGTTCACCAGTCATTGTGTCAGTTCAAGACACCCTTTGTTTGAGTGGGGCTTGGCTTTTGAATGAGACTTTGGATTGCATGGTTCAGGGGTCAATGTTTGACGTTCTGTTTTGTCCTCAAGGAGATTTTTCTTACAAATGGTGGGTGTTTAAAGGAAATAAATAGAGAGAAATTTGTTTGAACTTTGTAAATGAAGTGTTCCCCCAAGCGGAAATTTTATATGATAAGTATACCTTGTGAGTCGGCTTTGTCGATTTAGGAAGTAAGTTAATTAGAGAGATTATGTAACAATGTGGCTATACAAAGTTTTACTGAAATCTGAGTGGTGGATTAGAGACAGAAGCATGCAGACGAAATGTTTTTTGAAAGTCAGTTTTGATATCAACAGTGTTCACAAATGGAAGGATTGATTGAATGATAAGCATTGAGCAGCGTTTTAAAAATGAAAGACAGCAATAAAAGAATGCAAGAGCATAAACGCCTCCTCAGTGGCAGGGTGAATACTTCAAGATCTTCAGGAATTTTATACGTAAACATGCAGTATATATACTCTGCTACGTCATTTATCTCCAAGTGATAATAAACAGATATCTTCACTTGGCCAAACTTCAGTCAGTAATATCATTAATCAACAGCATCATTGTTGCTAGGAGCGACAAGCTGTTGGTTCCTTTAGAGAATAATCTGTAAAATCATCAATTTGACTATCACATGTTACAGAAATATTCTTATATTGAATAGTGGGAAGATAGAATATTTCCATAAATGTGTACATCTTGTAAGTAGAGGATTTGATGAAATAATAGTATATGAATGTGTATATCATACGACTAACATATACGATAATGTTACATTAGTGTGTATATCATGTTAGTACTGGATGTGATAAAAAATATATGTGTATATCGAGTAATAGATGAATATAAATGTTACAAAAGTGGGTACATCACATAAGTAGAGGATTTGATGAAATAACATATAAACATGTATATCTATTATCATACGATTCACACTCGTAACAGATATGATAATGTTACGGGTGTATAGCACATAGATGTGTATGTGATGAAAATCATGTACCTAATGGATAAGAGAAATGGAACATTCACACCGTCTTGCCAAATGCTATGAGTATCTCATCGCTTCAATGATAAAAGTTGGACATAATCTTATTCACTCCATCAGGTAAACACGGTGATGGGCAAGTTGGTAGGAGTAAGTGCTATAGTGTCGGTTTTAATGTGTAATAATCTCCACTTATGAATGCCACAAGGTAGATGTGAGGATTTGAGGGAACAGAGTGACAGCTTTGCAGTGCCGATATCCCCAGTGTGAACTATCCTCCCATTGAGAACAGTGGGACTTCCTGTGCCCCGTAGCACAGGAACAATGGGACGGCATGTGTTTTATGACAGGGATAGGACATCATAAATTGCCTCAATCATGATCTGCCTTTGAAGCAACAGTTAAACTGTGGCTCTGTAATGCCGCAATCTCTCCTGCTGGCTACAAGATGGTGGGGCATAGGATGACCAGATTAGCATGCTGTAACAGAGGTTAGCTGCCACAATTATGTACATGCAAACAGTTGGTAGGAAAGTGTACACTGCTACCATAATCATGCTTGTGCAAGAGGTTTCTAGGAAAGCAGTACCTAGCTACCACAAATCGTGTAGTTGCAAGCACTCTGTAGGGAAGCAGTACATCAGTGTCACAATGATGAATATGCAAGCAGTTTCTGGGGAAGCATTTTGTTGTAACAATAAGCATACCAGGCCCTCCCTTGCATGACTATTAATGATGGGACTTCATGATGTAAATTGTCCAGACTGTGTGACAGATCTGCCCTAGTGTTGGTTCCTCGTGATTGTTTTATGAGGGATTTTCTCCACTTTTGAAAGAAGAAATTAGATGCTACTTATCATGTTAATGTAAAAAAAATTGTGAGATGGTTTTGGCAATCCTGAAATATTCCCCATGAAAAGACAAAATTCTTAGACAAATGGAGATTTGTGGTACAGTGTGACCAGGGGTTTCAAAAGTCCCATCGCCCGACGCCTGGGACAAGTCAGTTTTCATTTCGGGCAATCAAATAATGGTATCCTACTTGTCCGTGGGCTACTAGATAATTTCACTTATGGTTTCAAACTGCAAATAAACTTGGATTTCATTTCATATCTGCTCAAAATGTAGCTATTAAATTTCCCAATGATAATAAAATAGAGTTATCTTTCTCCTGTAAACATAAACATCAAATACCTTGTCGAGTTATTCTTTCATAATTACATCATCATGATTATTTCATAAAATCAGGGCAAGTGGAAAATTAGTCAGGGCAAGTTACTTTCTTAAAGTCAATTGCCATAGTTTCTTAAAGTCACTTGCCCTGTGGCAATTGACTTTTTAAAGAAAAAATTGAACCCCTGGTAACAAGACTGACCATATAAACTGTAAACAATCTTATATCGTTTCTCTGAAATTGTAGGTTAATTAAATTTCAGATTTCCTGCAGATTCAGAAATAGCATCTCTCAATGAGCCAATGGACTTTTAGCCACTCCACCCTAATTCAGCTGCTGTTGAAATCCGAAATGTAAGAAGACACTGATTAACTGCCACATTCTGGTCGTGTCTGTCTTGACTTCTCATATGGTGAGACATGCACAGACAATGGCCATGTGATCCATTGTCCAGTCATGTGACCTGGGTGTCAGTCATGTGACCTGCATGTTCAGATGCCACGGTGATAAGCAGTTGACACCACCCACAGTCCACACCACCCACACTCTGGAGTGGCTATTCTGGAGCCGCTGTAAACCAAAGTCAACAAACAGCAACAGACCAGAAATGTCAATACTTCCAAAGTATTTCGGTCATTTAGGCCAAAACAAGTTTATTCCTTGATTTACAAATGGTCTTGGCACGTACAGGGCTGCAGGAGTTGACTGGTTGATCAACATGATTATCAAACAAAACAGTTCATGTGTAGTGATTGCCTTGGAACTATTGACCGTGTTTCATTGTTTATTTTTCTGAAAAAATATCAGAATGTTGAAACAAAAGAAATCAATGGAAAGTTTGAACCATACACCTAAATATTTAGCCTAGAGAGAACATGTCACACTGGAGACCAGGTTTCATTCCAAAAATGTGTTCAATGTGTGTTGCTTAATTGTGATGTTCCTGATCAGAATTTGAGAAGTTAACAAAGTACACATACATCATAAATTGTATAAATGGAGGTATTTAAATACCTTATTATTTGTATGAATACTATTGCGTGTAAAACTATGTAAGCATATACGAAAAATAAAGAAATTTAGAAAAGTTAATAAAACCCTGAAAATCAGACAGCCGTAAATCTCAGCTTGTCTCTCACTCCCTCACCTGTAGGATAAAACAAAGCAAGGAAATCAACAGCTTTCACTAAAACATCCCATGAAGTTTGACCCTACATTACATCGGGCAAGTAGATCTTTGGTCAGTTTACTATAAAGTTAATTATAGGTCTACAATATGAGAGGGGTATGACATGAAGTGAAATTCTGTTTGTTCGTGATCTGGATTTGAACAAGTTTTATTGGCATCTCTGAACGCTGAACGTGTACATATTTGTTGAATTAAGAAGGTAGTGTTATCTTTTACGACTCTGCGCCAGATAAGGGAGCTGGTTTTGTGGGAATCCGGTGCTCTAAGATTTATTGACAACAATAAAATGCCTGGAAACCTTCCTGCAATGGGGTGGAGAGTTTGATCAAGTGTTGTAAAAAGATCTGGAGAGATACTTTGCTGCCTCTTTCATATACCATCTGACTTAAACCTCTCTGCTCTGCCTGCAAAAAAGAACTGTACGGATTATTGCACAAGGCATATATGTGTATATATTTACTCCACTTTTATGCTATGATCTGGGTAATTCGAGGGATCTTTTCCTCATTACGTACAGTTTATTGCGCTGAACGTGCTTGATGTTAAGTCTGGATCAGCGGGATGGTATTATATACAAATTGGCTTATGATTTATGGATGTAATAACACACATGTAGGCGATATACCTCAGACATGCTATATTTATTATGAGGCTATCACAAATTGATTCCACCTTCAGACTCTGATGTGAGAGTGGCATTTCACCATTATAACGTACGGTTAATAATTCAATATCCGCTATTTCAGACAGGCGATGAATGTATAAATGGTAAATTTGAATCCTCTTACAAATGCTTCTTATAAATGTCACCTGTCTCAAGTATCTCGTCTAATTTTGTTTTAGTGACATTCTAGAAGTTGGTGGTTTAGCTGTGACAAAACTAAGGATGATCAACTTCTATATTTTAACTATGGCGACGTTTCGGTATAGATTCTTATACCGTTTTCCAGCAGGGCGACGTTTCGGTATAGATCCTTAAACCGTTTTCAACCATGGCGACATTTTGGTATAGATGCTTATACCATTTTCTAGTATGAAAACGGTATAAACATCTATACTGAAACATCGCCATTGTTAAAATATCAAGTTGATCATCCATGAAGTTTTGTCATCTCTATCTCGTCTAAGTGATGAAGTAGAGGTACAGAATCTTTGCTTACTGTCACAGACATCATGTCTAACAATATTTTTCTTATCTGTGTTTTCAGAATTTTTCACAGAATTGTTGGATAATGCCAGAAGAGATCTACATGAAATGTTTGTTAAAACATACGGACTGCTATACCAACAAAATGCACACATATTCACAGATCTATTCGACGATCTGAGAGGATACTACAAGGGCAAGGACAAAAACTTAAAGGATGTTATGGATAACTTTTTCAGCAGACTTTTACAGAAAATGTTTGAACTTATAAATACTCAATACGCCTTTGACGAAGAATACATGGCATGTGTCACGGATCGCATGGACGAGTTAAAACCTTTTGGGGATGTACCTGTGAAGCTGTCCATCCAAGTGAGGAGAGCATTCATTGCAGCTCGGACATTTGTACAGGGACTTGCCATTGGACGGGACGTCATTATGAACGTTATGGAGGTAAGTGGTCATTCCTTTAAGTAGGTGTAGGTATATTTGTGTTGTTCGTAGACCTTAAGATATGTGGTTGTGGAGAATGTTGTATATGCATTATGTCATATAGGGGTTGTGTATGTAGTATGTGCATTATCCCATGCAAACTGGAGTATGTAGTATATGCATTATAGTATATATACATTATCCCATATAAGCCCTGTGTATGTAGTATATGCATTATCTCATGCAGGAGTTAGTTGTGTATGTAGTATATACATTATCCCATATCAGCCCTGTGTATGTAGTATATGCATTAGCCCTTATAAGGCTTGTGTATGTAGTATAAACATTATCCCATATAAGCCCTGTGTATGTAGTATATGCATTATCCCATATAAGGCTTGTGTATGTAGTATATACATTATCCCATATAAGGCTTGTGTATGTAGTATATGCATTATCCCATATAAGGCTTGTGTATGTAGTATATGCATTATCCCATATAAGGCTTGTGTATGTAGTATATACATTATCCCATATAAGGCTTGTGTATGTAGTATATGCATTATCCCATATAAGGCCTGTGTATGTAGTATATCCATTATCTCATACAGGAGTTGTGTATGTAGTATATACATTATCTCATATAAGCCCTGTGTATGTAGTATATACATTATCTCATATAAGCCCTGTGTATGTAGTATATACATTATCCCATATAAGGCTTGTGTATGTAGTATATGCATTATCCCATATAAGGCTTGTGTATGTAGTATATGCATTATCTCGTACAGGAGTTGTGTATGTAGTATATACATTATCTCATATAAGCCCTGTGTATGTAGTATATACATTATCCCATATAAGGCTTGTGTATGTAGTATATGCATTATCCCATATAAGGCTTGTGTATGTAGTATATGCATTATCCCATATAAGCCCTGTGTATGTAGTATATATACATTATCTCATATAGCCCTGTGTATGTAGTATATACATTATCCCATATAAGCCCTGTGTATGTAGTATATACATTATCCTTATAAGCCCTGTGTATGTAGTAGTATACATTTATCCCATATAAGGCTTGTGTATGTAGTATATGCATTATCCAATATAAGGCTTGTGTATGTAGTATATGCATTATCCCATATAAGCCCTGTGTATGTAGTATATATACATTATCCCATATATCTGTGTATAGTATATGCATTATCCTATAAGGCTTGTGTATGTAGTATATACATTATCCCATATAAGGCTTGTGTATGTAGTATGTGCATTATCCCATATATGGCCTGTGTATGTAGTATATCCGTTATCTCGTACAGGAGTTGTGTATGTAGTATATACATTATCTCATATAATGCCTGTGTATGTAGTATATACATTATCTCATATAAGCCCTGTGTATGTAGTATATACATTATCCCATATAAGCCCTGTGTATGTAGTATATGCATTATCTCATACAGGAGTTGTGTATGTAGTATATACATTATCCCATATAAGACCTGTGTATGTAGTATATACATTATCTCTTATAAGAGGTCTGTGTGTGTAGTATATCCATTACCCATATAAGGCTTGTGTGTGTAGTATATATTATAATACCCAACCCGAGGCTGAGTGTATGTAGTATATACATTATCCCATATAAGGCCTGTGTAGTGGTATATAGTATATATAAGCATTACCCATTATCCCATATAAGCCCTGTGCATGTAGTATATGAGTGTATTAGTATCTCATTATCCCATAAGCCCTGTGTATGTAGTATATACATTATCCCATATAAGGCTTGTGTATGTAGTATATGCATTATCTGCATTACAGGAGTTGTGTATGTAGTATATACATTATCCCATATAATCCTGTGTATGTAGTATATACATTATCCCTGTGTATATAAGACCTGTGTATGTAGTATATACATTATCCCTATAAGGCTTGTGTATGTAGTATATACATTATTATCCCATATAAGGCCTGTGTATGTAGGCATTATCTCTTATAAGTGTATGTAGTATATATACATTATCCAACCCTGTGTAAGGCTGAGTGTATGTAGTATATACATTACCCAACCCGAGGCTGAGTGGATGTAGTATATACATTACCCAACCCGAGGCTGAGTGGATGTAGTATATACATTACCCAACCCGAGGCTGAGTGTATGTAGTATATACATTACCCAACCCGAGGCTGAGTGGTATATATACAATACCCAACCCGTGAGTGGATGTACTATATACATTACCCAACCCAGAGGCTGAGTATATAATGGAGGCTGTATGTAGTATATACCCAACCCAAGGCTGAGTGGATGTATGGTCATTATAGAGAGTGCTATGTAGTCATGTTGTACCCCATTGATTGCACTGATTGGACACAGTGGCAATTATTGAACATGATTGTTGTAGGAGGCTGGTACATGAAATAATGTTCCCCCTAAAGCTACTATCAAACCCAAACCTGATTAGGTTATAGCATAGATGAGGTGATGGAGAAGAGGCGTAGTAATGATTTTATATCCCTGCTCCAAGATTAGGCAGATAAGGGATAATGATGATTGATGAGAGAGTAGCAGGGAATTGAAAGGCAGGGAGGGGAGTGAGTACTGTTTGACAAGTTGGTTTTGTTACATCTACGACCCTGAACTTCTTTACCCGGACATGGCTTACCAGTGGTTGATAGCATGAGCAGCTGTAGAACTCGTATTCACTGACTGGTTCACATTTGTCTTGAAACTGTCGTATTCCATGTTGATATTGGACCAAGGAACACTCTCCCTGCCTGCTGCATTCATTGATGACTTTACCACAGGTTATATATATATGACTTTACCAACGGCTTACATGACTTTACTACAGAAGTCTATATATTTGACTTTACTACAGATGTGTATATATGACTTTACCACAGATGTGTATATGACTTTACTACATATGTATATACATGACTTTACCACAGATGTATATATATGACTTTACTACAGACGTATATACATGACTTTACTACAGATGTATATATATGACTTTACCACAGATGTGTATACATGACTTTACTTTACAGATGTGTATATATGACTTTACTACAGATGTGTATGACTTTACTACAGATGTATATATATGACTTTACTACAGATGTATATACATGACTTTACCACAGATGTATATATATGACTTTACTACAGATGTATATATATGACTTTACCACAGATGTATATATATGACTTTACCACAGATGTATATATATGACTTTACCACAGATGTATATATATGACTTTACTACATATGTATATACATGACTTTACCACAGATGTATATATATGACTTTACTACAGATGTATATATATGACTTTACCACAGATGTATATATATGACTTTACTACAGATGTATATATATGACTTTACCACAGATGTATATATATGACTTTACTACAGATGTGTATATATGACTTTACTACAGATGTGTATATATGACTTTACCACAGATGTGTATACATGACTTTACTACAGATGTGTATATATGACTTTACTACAGATGTATATATATGACTTTACCACAGATGTGTATACATGACTTTACTACAGATGTGTATATATGACTTTACTACAGATGTATATACATGACTTTACCACAGATGTATATATATGACTTTACTACAGATATACATGACTTTACTACAGATGTATATACATGACTTTACTACAGATGTGTATATATGACTTTACCACAGATGTGTATATATGACTTTACTACAGATGTGTATATATGACTTTACTACAGATGTATATACATGACTTTACCACAGATGTATATATCTGGAGTGACTTTACTTCAGATATACATGACTTTACTACAAATGTATATACATGACTTTACCACAGATGTATATACATGACTTTTACTACAGATATACATGACTTTACTACAGTGATGTATATACATGACTTTACCACAGATGTATATATTTATGACTTTACTACAGATATATATGACTTTTACTACAGATGTATATACATGACTTTACCACAGATGTATATACATGACTTTACTACAGATATACATGACTTTACTACAGATATACATGACTTTACTACAGATGTATATACATGACTCTTACCTTTACAGATGATGTACATATATACTTTTACCACAGATGTGTATATATGACTTTACCATAGATGTATATATAAGAGTTTACCACAGGGAAAGTAGGGGAACTCGACCCCGTAATCATCAATAATTTGAATACTTATGTCCCAACTGACAAGTGAAATTTGTAGGAGAATGTTTTTTCTGAAACGTAATCTGTGTTGTTATGGATATTGAGCAGCCTTTTGACATTCAAAGTTGGAGGTAGTGGAAGTCATCGTGATGTGGGCACAGAAGTCAAAGCTTACAAAGTGCAGCTACATTTATCATTGAAGCACATCAGATGTGATATTCCAGCAACATGTCAAGGGATTAACCAATCACAATACTTTGTTACATGTTACCTTCCAATCAGAATTGTTTGCCTTGGGGGATTAACCAATCAGAATACTGTCTTTACGATATCAATCTCTGTGGCTGCAGGGAATAGTAGTAAATTGAATGAACTTGTTAATAATTTACATCCCTCATGTCAATGTGTTATTGTTTAGACTTCAAACACACTCACAAATGTAAGTGTAACTGATGCACTTTGTTCTATGGATTTATAAACATAGTATCAATCACCATGGTAACGGTATTGTGATAGGTCAAATGAAATCACCTCGATTACAACAGATAAATGAGGTGTGTTCCCCAGTATGATGTTTGTTTTGTTTGCTGTGGTCAGCACTTGCGACTGCAATTAGTTTCAGGGAAATAGCTTGTTTATTATGAAGGCAGCAGTTGAGGCCAGGCAGATAAGGACTTTCCAGGAGCTGTGTGTATTTTCTCCTCCAGAGATAATAGGGCCCTTATATCAGATCTTCCTGATAACTGCCTCTCAGGTTACATATGGACCTGAAATGTATCTGCATAATTAGCTGCAACTTGCAGCCGATGCTGATGGCCATGTAATTAGTTGTGTGGATGCACTGACACTATCCGCATTAAACATTTACTCATGTCACTTCAGAGTATACTTGTGTAAACTTTCGTGGGAGGGTCCATGATATTATTGGTTGTGAGGGTAACAGTATCAGAAATGCAATTAAGGAAAGATTGTGTCATACTGATAGTGTTGAATAAATCTCATTGCAGAATTTGATACTATGGTTAAGTTAGATTTATTAATAAATATTTTTGGCTGACGGAGCTGGTTAAAGACTCATCTGCAGGTGTAGTGAGGTGTAGGATGGGGAGGGAATGTCTGCAGGCTGGGGTGGGTGGGGAGGGGCTGCAGGGGGGTGGGGAGAGACACTGCAGGCTGGGGTGGGGTGGGGAGAGACAATGAATGTCAGGCAGAGAGGGTTAAAGACTCTTCTGCAGGTGTAGGGTGGGGAGGGGCTGCAGGCAGAGGTGGGGAGAGACAACTGAATGTCAGGCAGATGGGGTTAGAGACTTTTCTGCAGGTGTAGGGTGGGGAGGGGCTGCAGGCTGGGGTGGGGAGAGACAACGAATGTCAGGCAGAGGGGTTAAAGACTTTTCTGCAGGTGTAGGGAGGGGAGGGGCTGCAGGCTGGGGTTGGGAGAGACAACGAATGTCAGGCAGAGGGGGTTAAAGACTCTTCTGCAGGTGTAGGGTGGGGAGGGGCTGCAGGCTGGGGTGGGGAGAGACAACAAATGTCAGGCAGAGGGGTTAAAGACTCTTCTGCAGGTGTAGTGAGGTGTAGGGGCCCTGCATGTCGGCGGTTAAACAGAGATTGCGTTCATTTCTATGTGTGGAGAGTTCAGTTCCTGAACGTTCACCTTTTTGTCTTACTGTCAGACAAGGTAGGAGAACACAGACATCCTGACCTGATCCACACACACGCTCAGCAGAACTTGGTTCAGACATTTCCAGTTGGAGCTGGACAGTTGTGTTAAATAAGCATGAGGTGAATGGCAAACAGTATTTGTTGGAATGATGCTTCCATATAGAGTCATGAAATATGTAACATTAGCTACTCAGTTTCATGTGCCGTGTCATGGATCATGGATCATGTAGTGAGTGAGGGAGTTTTACGCCGCACTCAGCAATAATCCCGCTACATGGCTTCGGTCTGTAAATAATCGAATCTGGACCAGACAATCCAGTGATCAACAGCGTGAGCATCGATCTGCGCAATTGGGAACCGATGACATTTGTCAACCAAATCATGGAGCCTGACCACCCGATCCCGTTAGTCGCCTCTTACGACAATCATGGGTTACTGAAGATCAATATTTTAACCCGGACCTTCACGGGTCCATGGATCATGTATCAGTGTGTGATAAGTAACACAGGCCGAGGTCAGAGACCAGCTTTCCATGGGAATCTGCAAAAGTCGGCTGTTGAGTGAGTCAGGAATGTTGCTTGGTTCTATATATTGGTCATGTTCATGTTATGTGAACAGTTGGATAACAGATTTATGAGTTCTGTAATGTCAGCAGTGCCAGGGATCATACGACAGTGAGGTTACATTTGGATCCAATTTCCACTTGCGCTCAGCTTTCTTTCTGTTATCTTTGTTATAATATCAACAAATGTTTTGTCTATATGTCCCTGTCTGGTAGAGGTTGAATGGTATTTTGAGGTTCAGTTTTGTGTGACTTTCATTACGAAGTTGGTGTACTTCGTTAACAGAAGGATTTTACAGTGGTAGCAGCAGATAGCCAGGAAGTGGGGGCCTAATGGTTGAGGTGCTTGCTGATTGTTCTGTTTTATAGAGTTTGAATATATATAACGGACTCTTCACATATGAGTTTGTGTTCACAATTTGAGTCCCTGCGTTTCTTCTTGGTGCCCCGCCGTGATATTGCTGGAATATTGCTAAAAGCGGCGTAAAACTAAACTCACTCACTCATTCTACTTGGTGCATCTGTACTGAGTAGAATGTCCAGCAACACGAACTCCAGGAACATGATTCCAAGCAATGCAGACTTGGAAGGTACAGGGACTTTGCCAACATGAAGGATACACTCCATGTGTGGCTGGAATCCGGTTCTCTTATGCACAGCAACACCTGTTTACAAGACCTTTCTCTGCAAATCCCACACCTATGGTTTGTGTGATCCTGGCTGATCGTGAGAGTTGTGTTTTCCTTGTGTTTGTTTCCAGGTTCCAGGGATCACAAGTTCTTTGTCAGCACTATATTCGTGCTTGTGGGTTTCGCTAGAGCGGTTAATATTTGTGTCGGCAAGCCAACATTCTGTGATATGAGTGAGTGAGTTTAGTTTTACGCGGCACTCAGCAATATTGCAGCTATATGGCTTCGGTCTGTAAATAATTGAGTCTGGACCAGACAATCCAGTGATCAACAGCATGAGCATCGATCTGCGCAATGGGGAACCGATGACATTTGTCAACCAAGTCAGCGAGCCTGACCATCCGATCCCGTTAGTCACCTCTTACGACAAGCATGGGTTACTGAAGATCAATATTCTAACCCGGACCTTCACAGGTCCTGTGATATGATATATAATACTGATCAGTGAAGCATTGAATGCAGATCTTGTGATATTTATATATATTACTGATATACACGATTTGCTCACTCATCTCAGCCAAATGATTAAGTTGGACGTATATTGTACATCATTTTATACATTAAGAGCCTTAATGCCTTCATCTCAGACAACTGTTTTACTGCTTGTTATAGGTGCACAACAAAAATATTTCAAGACCCAGATGTTCAAATAACTGTTTTCACTTATTAATCCGTTGACACATATTAAACACTTAAAAAACATTTAATGCAGTAATCCAGGTGTTGAATTATTGAAAATAAACTGTCCCTGGAATCATCAAAGGCACACTGATTGTTTTGGAGCAAGTGAAAAAGAGATATTCAGGAAGTGGCGGCCATGTTTGTTATCTCTGTAAGGAGTTTAGCTTTGATGTGTGTGACTGTGAGCTTGTAAGAGATACACGTATGATTCGTTCATCCCAGAGGGAATGTCTTCAAAGATTATGGCGAACTTTCTTATCATCCTTGAAATATTTGTGAGAGAAGGTATTGATGTATATCCACCTGCTCTGTTAGAATGGTAGCCAATTAAACACGGATATTTCTGGATTGAAAACAGTGTAATAACATAATGAGGTGGAAGCACTGAAGATTTGATGTATGATGTCAAGAATATACCTTAAAGTGTTGGTGTACATTCCTGAGGTGGAAAGTTATCTTATATGGTGTGTAATATCAAGAATATACTTAAGGCCTAAAAATACAATGTTGTGATTCCGATTACCCGACCAACCCTTGAATTCTGTTGCCGACCCTATTTTTTTCAAGCAGTATGAATAAAATAAGCTTTCAGATACCATTGTTTTTTCCTGACATCGGTCATTCTGATAGAGAAAGTCAACATCATGGCCGCAAGCATGACTGAATAAACAATTACACATTGATAATGTGTTTTTAGTTTGTACTTCTAAAAGAAAATGTATAAAAAAAAATCCTACCTACCCTAAATTTTAAAGAGGTGTAATCGGAACCACAACATTTCTTTTATTTGGCCTAAAAGTGTTGTGTGTACGTCTGAGGTGGAAAGTTGGCTACTATGATAAGTAATATTACTGGTTGGTGGTGATCTCGGCTGTTGGTCAATTTTAGCCAATGGCTGTCTTGACCAAGGATATGCTCAAATATTGCATGCTGTCAACGTTTATTTAAACCAATGTAAATGTATGTGTGGTGTGTTAGATATCAGTGAGAATGGTCAGATATAGACTAACAACTAGTCTCTGCAATGAACATATTTTGCAGAAAAAAATAAAATATAGGGAAAAGGAGCCCCGAGTCTTTCTTCAAGCTGTGGAAATCCAGACTTGCCACTTTTCCTAGACTTGCGTGGGCTTTCTTGGATATATTTGCTTCAGGGTCTGTATGACAGACTAGGTCAGATATTGCCAGACTTTTGTAATTTCATTTAGTTTCATTTACATGAAAGAACGCTCTTGAATCATTATTTTTCTTCGTTCAAGACTTCCTTCATCCATCATTAATGCGTCACTGCAAAGGTTTTCAAACCGCTGAAGATAATTCCCAACGTTACGTACCAATATCGGTAATTATGAGTCTGCGTGACCGAGTTCCAAATTTTCAGTGCATGATTGTCTCAAGGCTGAGTTGAAGAGCTGACGTTTTCTTTTCCAAGTGGGAAAAGAGAACCGACAATTTGTTCTTGGTGAACTATTAGCCTACAGATTGATGTATTTGTGTTCATTCGTTTGTTTTCCCCCATTTAAGGTCATGTTTGCTCAGTGAATTGAATTTCTCGTCTGCAGACAAGGCAGTCATAGCTTAACACACAACGAGCTGGCTAAAATGGGGAACTCGTTCAAGAAAAAAAATGCTAGTTAAGACGCAAGAAAACAGTTCTAATTAGGGATTACTTAACTGTAAAAAGTGTGGGAAATTTTACAGATTTCAAGGTTAAAAAGACCTTGAAGGGAATGAAAACGTAAGACGTGTAATTTTGTTAAATTGTTATTTTGTTGTTGAAATTGAAGATTACTTTGAATTTGTTGAATTTGTTTCGTGTGATATTGTTTCGTGTGATATTGTTTCGGATGTTTCTGAGTATGCAGACAAACAATCCAGGGCTCAATTTAAAGAAATGAAACCTACTTGCACCCAGTGCAACCTTAGGTAGAAACCTTGTTACATCAGATAAAAACAGGTTGCACCTGCTGCTCAATATAAAATCTTGTATAAAATATGATGCTTGAGTTTTTTGTATTGATAGTTTAGAACATTATAACAAAAGAAACCTGGGACTGATAAGATTAGTTATCTTACTTCCTAAAATGTCATGAACAGTAAGTCCTTCAGTCACTGCTCATACAGTCATCAGAGTCACTCTTCCAAGTCAGTTTCTCATCATTCTGTTTTCCAGCTGAAGTCTAAAAAATTGACAAATAACTAGGTTGCACTTTGTAATATTGGGTTGCACCATTGCAAGTAACAAAGCACTAAATCGAGCCTGCAATCTGTAGTAATAAGTACCAAGTTTTGAGAGAGGAGTGTCTGTCAGTGTTCTGTAGGCAATGGTGCAATTATTTTCTGATAAAGTGCAAAGTTTTATATACAATTAAGGCTCCAAGATCAAAGAAAATTTGTAAAAGTAATGTCACAAGAGTTAATATAATGACAGCAAATCAGTTTTGACGTCATTTGGCCTCAGTTCTAAATATTTCAGAGTGGAAAATAGAAAACTAACAACATTCCTGTATAAGAAACCTTCATACGTGACAACTCCTGGTTGCTTGCAGTTTCGCAACTCTTCAACTGATATATTACACCGTAATCAAACCTCAGTCCTTTCTGTAGGAACTGTGAATTCTGATACTTGTTTCATAAAAATAAGTACATCTGTAATTGCCTACAGAATCAAACATCTATTTTCATCTTCATTACATGTCCTGTATTGTACGCCTCCATTATTGAGCTTAGGCACAAAGCCAACATGAGCGATGTTTGATTGAGCCATAAGCATCACATTCCATTCTGAAAACGCAAAAGGCAAAAGCAGTGGCAAGTAAACATATCTCCCTTTGGAAGTTATTGTTATTTATACCACGGTTTCTTTCTGACACCTTCAACATTGTAGCCGTTGTTTCCAACAACAAGGGAAATATGGAGCAGAATGTAGGACATGACACAGTCGCCATTGCTCACGTGCCAGATGGTTGGCTGGTCCAGGGAGGGACGCAAGGGCTTGAGGACAAACAGGGCCATTACACTTTCATACGTTCCAGCTGAAATTCGATTTCCCTCATTTTCTCTCGATGAATTCTTGTAATTTATTTGAATTTGATACGGTTAGAAGTGATGCAATTATTTTCATGGTTAGGGGCTTGACTGCATTTGAAACGCTGGTGTACGACTTTAATTTGTAAAATGATATTATGTTTTTCAGTTTTGAAATATTTCGAAATGCTTTTGACGTTAAGATGCATGGATAAAACATCACATTTTAAACATTTTGGAAAGAGTATCAAGTTTTCCTGAAGTATCAAGTAATAAATCACATTTTGAAATATTGAACTCGGCTGAATTTGCAGTTTTCATGCATTGGATTCCCTGGGACCTCTCTTCAGGAGTGTTCTACAAAGTCGAGGATGATTATAGATGCTGTTTGGGGCGGTGGGGTAGCCTAGTGGTGAAAGCATTGGCTCGTCACGCCTAAGACCCGGGTTCGATTCCCCAGATGGGCACAATGTTTTAAGCCCATTTCTGGTGTCCCCCGCCGTGATATTGCTGGAATATTGCTAAAAGCGGCGTAAAACTAAACTCAGTCAGTCAGTCAGTCAGTCAGTCATAGATGCTGGTCAATCAGCTGACCGCCTGCATCCATTTTAACCCACACTGGTGCAGCCACGAATAACAAAGGTTTATTATGTATACGAAGGGGCACATTTTAGTCAAATACGGTACTAGAAAAGCAGGATATTTCTGTCAACGTGGTTCAGGAGATGAAAATGATTAATTTGACCCGAGTTGTTCGAGTCCTGAAGCCACAACCTGCTTCACAAGTGTTACAGCGTGGTTACTACTAGTCAGAAGGCGAGAGCAATCCTGAATGCCACAAACAGGAAGGGCAGGATTAGACCTGATAATAGCACCAACCTTTGCTGTGCCATTTTCAGCAGGGTTCCATACATAGCCAAAATATTTATGGATGATATTTGATTGTGAATGTTTGGGGTTATGTTGGCTTAGATGTCTGCTGCCATCAGGGGACATGTTTGACCGATGTTGAAAGGTGGTTGTCCAGGGGTTAGGATCTTGGCGGATTGATAAACAGTACCATGCCGCAGACAGTTTGCGTATTTCAGAGCATTAACTTTGATGTTTTCACAAGACATTGACGTAAATTGCTTGCATTTTATTACAGATAGCGACATGTTTCGACATGCAGAATGTTTCCAAATTTTTCTGCTTGTTGATACAATAGCTCATATCAGCTAGAAATAGTCCCAATTAAAATGTTGTTTGTGCAGGAAGTTACGCTGTTGATAAATTGATTCATCTTGGTTATCATATCGGAGGGTGATGATGAACAGATACCAATCTTGGGGTGCAGAGGCTAGACTTGCTCAAGTGTTCTTGAAAATTATCATTCAAAAATTGTATTATTCAATTTCTTTAATGATGACCTTAATTTTTTCTGATGAAAGATTGGAAGATTTGTTAAATACCGATATAACCCAAATTAAAATTTACATATTACATTTTTGGGTATGGTCTTGGACCATTGCTATGATGAACCGTATCTTGAAGTTTGGCCAGGATGAGGCCTAGTTGCAGCATAACCATGGAGCTATGCTATGAAGCATACCGTAAATCCTTGAATAAATGCCAGTATGTAAGCATCATTTTACCAGGTGACCTTCCAAAACATATAAGCACTGGGTGTTTTATTCAAGTATTTATTGCATACTCTAGGTTAGCCTGATATATGCAGACATGTCTCATAGACATCATACACCAACAACAATGTCCTGTTGCAGGTACCCGCCACGGAGCAGTGTACACGAGGGCTGATGAAGATGATGTACTGCCCCCACTGCCAGGGGCTGGTTAGCACCAAGCCCTGCAACAACTTCTGCCTCAACACCATGAAGGGCTGCCTTGCCTACCAGGCAGACATCAACAGCGTGTGGAACGAATATATCGGTAAGTAGCAATGCTTACTCAAGTGGTCTGGGGTGGCTCAGTGGTCTGTGCGGTTAGCCAGGTGTTTGATTCCACACAGCAACTCTGTGGTGCCTCTTCACCGCCTGTCTTCAACACATGGCTGCTTGTTGTGAAAAGTGACGAAATGGATCAGGGCCTAGATTTTCGAAGCTCTCTTAGCGCTAAGATAGTCGTAAGTTAATGTTAATGTGTGGCACTTATGCCTATCTTACTGCTAAGAGAGCTTCGAAAATCTAGGCCCTGGTTGTTAGACTTGGTTTGACCAACTACCACCATATCCCGACTGTAGATCTTCTTCCTGTCCCGCCGTCACCATATGGCTGAGATATTGCCGATGTGACGTTAAATCTTAACTCACTCACTCTTCCTGTCCCGCACCAGATTTTGATGGCAGACTGGTGGAAGACAACAAACAAGCAACAAATTTGTCCTGGTTTTTACCTGCCCACAAAATTGATTTTGGTACTCATGGTAAGGAGTGTCCCAGGCAGCATTGGTGCCACCGTGTTTTACTGAGCTACGTGTACGGAAAGCGTTATCTGGAAGGCCCCAAATATTTTGCTGCTGTTGCAAATGCACATTCTTCAGGCATGGGGAGATAAGAAGTTGAAGCAGATGAAGATGAATGCTAATCTAAAATGTCTCGAGTGTCAGATGTAGGTTAATGCAATACTAAGTGTCCATTGTCTGCGCATCCCATATATTAGGTAAGCGGCTTTGTAGGTGTGGATAAATATATGGACTGCTCAAGGTTCGTGAAACGTGTTTACATCACAGTCACGTCGAAACCTATGGAGATTTCGGTGCTAGTTTACTGAGGTTGGTTTGCCTTTGATCGCCATTTTGTTAAATAACACCGGTTCAGTATCTGAATGTTCTGCTTGCAAGAAACATTTGGCAGGTCCATACAAATTCAGCTGACATTTAACTGGTTTGTGAAAGTGTTCTATCAAATTGAAATTTAAACAAGCAAAGCAAAGCCTTGATATTTGAAATATTTTGTGTGGTATAAGTTCCGAGTGTTCATATATTCCTCTCACAAATTACAATTGTGGATTACAAACATATCTTAATTTCAATTCCATTTCAACATCAAGATCACTGATAATGTTTGTCAACAAAATATTTCAAAGGACTGGACAAAATTCTGACTATCTTAAGTTTGGAGAACTTGATTCCAGGAAAATATGACTTCACTGCTAACGAAATAGATTTATCATACATTCTTATGTAAGCTCCCGACACCCCTTGACCTTGCAAGGAGTATCAGAATCTGCACACCTCACAGATAGTGGACTGCAGATAGAAATAGACTGGTTTCAGATAAACACTGTTTATCGTTCCCCGACTTTCACATATAACATTTCTGTGTTCGTTATATTCTATCAGCCAAGTGGAATCTGTTGGTACATGTTTCTATCAGCCAAGTGGAATCTGTTGGTACATGTTTGCTGTTGCCAAATGAATCACCAGATGTCACAGGCGACACATCAGTTAATATTTGGTAAAGGTCTTCCAGCTATTCACATCTGTTTCCAACATGTACTACTCCCCTGTCAGCAAGTCCCATTGTATCCTAGTCAGGTCGACCCGTGAAGGTCCGGGTTAGAATGAACCTTCAGTAACCCATGCTTGTCGTAAGAGGCGACTAATGGGATCGGGTGGTCAGGTTTGCTGACTTGGTTGACACATGTCATCGGTTCCCAATTGCGCAGATCGATGCTCTTGCTGTTGATCACTGGATTGTCTGGTCCAGACTCGATTATTTACAGACTGCCGCCATATAGCTGGAATATTGCTGAGTCCGGTGTAAAACTACACTCACTCACTCACTCACTCACTCTATTTGGAGCAATAGAAGGCCCTGTGAATCTAATGAGTGAGTGAGTATGGGTTTACACCGCTTTTAGCAATATTCCAGCAATATTATGGCGGGGAACACCAGAAATGGGCTTCACATATTGTACCCATGTGGGGACTCGAACCCAGGTCTTCAGTGTGACAAGCAGGAATTTTAACTATAGGCTGCCCACTATCCCTGTGAATCTAAAAGTGAGACATTTCACTCTTCACAGGTGAGATATTTTATTTCATACACATGATATTTCACTCAGTAGAGAGATATTTCACTATATACAGGTGAGATATTTCATTTTATACAGGTGAGATATTTCACTATATACAGGTGAGATATTTCATTTTATACAGGTGAGATATTTCACTATATACAGGTGAGATATTTCATTTTATACAGGTGAGATATTTCACTATATACAGGTGAGATGTTTCATTTCGTACAGGTTAGGGGCGGTGGGGTAGTCTTCACTCACTCACTCACTCACTCATACTGGTGAGATTTAACACCAGATACAGGTGAGATATGTCACTTCATACAAGTAAGAAATTTCACTACACAGTTGAGATATTTGGCTGTCTGCAGGTGAGATATTCCGGTACATTGAGGTGAAACTGAAGATTTATATAAATTGTTACAGTTTTGAACCCTTAATCTAATTAGATTCTTAGTTCTTACATGTGGGAAATGTACAGACCTATTGAGTATGTAAACACTATCATCTTTAATGCGATAATGACTCTAAATAGTTGAAAACTCCTCTGTTCTATTTCCAACACATTGTTGTAATATTTGTAAATACATCTTAGGACAGTTGGGATAGGTTGTAGGAAACAATGCAGCCGATTTCTACAAGTAATTAATATTATCAGCACACGTTATCACTCAAAGGCCAAGCTGAAGGTTAGGAAGCCAATGACACCACCAAATACTGTTTCACTAATCCAAACACATTTGCTTTATATCTTCTTGCCGTCTACCGGCATTGTTTATGGGGAAAGTAATCTTTCACCTATGTACATTAAGGAATTTGGCTGCTTGGGTGAAGTATGAATCGGAACAAGTATTCCGACCCCCCTCCACGTGGGCCCCACCTGTACGAGTGTTCCCCTACCTGGCTTGGCAGGCCCTCGTCTGTCCGGGAATTAAACCACAGAAAAAAAGAGTCAGGAGGCCATGTGAACCCAATTATCCAGGAACTACGGCTCTTCTTTGAAGAGCAACAAAACCTGGCCACAGTCAGGAAACATGGTAGTTTCTAGCACTGGTGTTATTAACCTCCAACGAGACATCGGAAAATTGAGGCAAGGAAAACGTTTTTGTTTTGATCGATCGAGGTGTGTGTAGAAGAAACAGGTGTTAACAGTGGGCCGGCCAGCAAGGTGTTACTAACGGCCTTTGAACACTCACAGAACAGCTCTGTGGTTCCGGTTTGCCAGAACAATTCCATTATGTGTACCAGGCCTCCATATCAGGTTGTTGTAGGGATTCAAATGTTTTGTTTTCTGGGATATCTTGATGTTACAGTTCAAACATTTGGTTATATATTTCTCCTCCTAAGTTAGAAGAGTATGGACGACTTTGATATCTTTGTGGGTTGATGTTTTCGACAAATGACGTTGCAAATAAAATTGAAACTATTTTACGTTTGTCCTATTTTTGTATGGGTTGGAAGTGGGGATAAAAAACAAGATATTTACACACTTTGCAGTGAAAAATATAGAAGCTGAGATGATCCCTGTCCAGAGCGTTCATCTGTGAGAAAAGTTTACAGTTTCAAACTTGAGGCCTGGAGGCACACAGTGTGTGCAAGGAAAAACTGACATTTTGAAAGAGTTACAACTGTGACCACTGTAAGTGAACTTTGTATGCGTACACATGATTCAAGAACAAACTTTGTGTACAGCGCTTGTCAAGAATGTGCTCTACATAAACTTTCACATCCGAAAACCGAACAGAAATCTTAATGGGCACCAGTCCTGGTATTCTATCCCACAAGACTTTCTAAAGTTTTGATTCTAGTTCCTGTCAGTATTACGGGGAACGCTACCAGATGTAGACACCGAAAAGTCGAAACCAGATGATCCCAATTCTGCAAAAAGGCTCCGCCCAGACCTTGAGAAAACAAATAATCGCATGTAAAAACAATTATTCAGTCCCCCTTGAAACAAGTGATTGCCATAACAGTTAGCTCTTGAAATCCCGATCGTTTGATTGGTGGAGACTCGGTAGTAGAGACCAGTTCCTACTCAGGCATTGAAACAACAGTTGATATTTGAACTTATAGCAAAAATATTTTGCAGTGTGATTTCATTTCAAACTGACAGATGCTAAATCAGTGTTTTGGATTTTTTTATTTTTTTTATTTTTTTTATTTTTATTTTTTTTTGTGAAGTACATTAATAAAGAGTACTGAAATGACTTGAAAAACAGAGCTGTCCTCTTGGTAATTGTTCCTCATTGTTGATATGTGGCTACTTTGTACATTACTATTTCTTCAAAGTGACATGGACTCAGAAGAGTGCATAGAAACATCATTGGTAGTTTCAGACAAGGCCATGGTTGGGGTGAGGCAGGCATCATGTAGGTGGGTGAGGATGAGGTTTCTTTGGTTGTCACAGAAAACGTATTAGGATTTTATAAAGGTGCTTTTATTCTTGGATATACTAAGACGTAATGTCTCTTTAGAATTCATTAAAAAGTGAAATCTTTGAGATATACTGAAAGAAACAAATAAAGGATCGCAGGAAGGGGTGGAAATAACTTTAAAATTGCTAGTGTACACCAGTACAGTGGCACATGTAAAATCACTTGCCCTGATAATTTTTCCACCATACTGGCCGTTTTCTTGTTGATTTTTTAAATAAACAATATAATAAACATTGGAAAGTCAACTGGACACCGGTACAGTGTGATAGACAAATTTGCTTGCCCGACAGAAAAAAACACTGGACTCGGACGTCGGGCAATGGGTTATTTTTCATCCCTGACAGGAAAATTCAAGCGTTCCTTCATTATTTTCCGGTTTTCATCACCACAGCGCTATTCAAAGCTGGTGATGAAAACTGGAAATTGATAAAGGAACACTTGAATTTAAATGTGATCCTTTATTTGTTTCTCTCAG